GACTGCATACCCTTGCTCAATGCCTTTCCCCGGATCAGAATTGACTTTTAGCTGGAGGAGTAAATCAGACTGCCTCTCTTCTAGTATGTTCTTCAACAGTTAATATTTCAAGAAGTAAACCTGTAACAGGCAAATTCTGCAGCATATCAGATAAACTGCATGTCAGATTAATAAATGTTTCCATTCCTTTCTGGTATAATATATGGCTGAGTGTAATAAGCCACTTGTACTAGATTGCTTCTCGGCAGTGATGAGCAGATGGGACTATTGCGGAGGCCATGGGCTCTAATGGGTACAGTCAGCATCACTTTATATATACCAGGAGGCCTAATCAGTAAGACAAAAGAAAAATCCAGACTGCGACATCTTGCAACAGTTAGGTATATGTTTGACTGTATTCATACATAACCATTACTCTTAGCATTGCATTGCCACCATTATTCTTATCTTTCTATTTGTTATCTTTAAATAGCCACACAGATTGTCTGTTACAACCGTTTTCAATCGTATTTCTATAGAAAGCAACTAAGGCAGCAGGCCAGAAGCAACTGGAGGCAACATTCAATTGGGCAGGTCAGAATACCTGTTGCCATAACTGCCCCTCCTCTGGGATAAGGTAGACCAACAAAACCTCACATTTGCAAAATGTCAAAAAAAAGCCTCTATCTGGAATATGATATAGAGCTTCAAATTAGTTTTTTTGTTGTCTTTGGAAAACCAGTCAGAATGTCTATTTAAAGAAAAAAGTACTTAAAAAAAGGCACTATATAATGTCAATAAACACCTATTTCACTAATGATCTACCTGTCTCTCCAAAGTCTATGCTTGAAGGGTCTAAGTAAGTAACAACTTCCTGATAGTGGAATCATAGGCATGACCATGCCCATATCCCACAGTACTGCGCGTGCCTGAATGACCGATCGGAAGGTGTGGTGCCTATGTTCTAACATTCATGAAGTACTTTATCACTTCACAGAGGAGCTCCATGTGCTCCGAAGTGACTAAAGGGAAAAGGAATGAACTGACACTTTATAATGCCTTTTCTCCTATAAAAGTCTTATTTTTTGACCATAGTTCAGGTGTAAATATTATGATCACACTTATCTAATCCAAATACACACTCTCCAGCACAAAGCAAATGTCCGTTTCTAAATTACTTTGTAAATCACCTATAACGCTGAGAGGAGGCCAGTACTGAGCCTCAAAATGTACAAATGGTTTTCTTGTTACGTTTCCTTTTTCCTGGATGTTTGTGACTTAATTCAAAAAGAGAACTGTAGGTGGAAGATATTGCAGAGGATGTTGAGAGACGTCTTTTCGGATGGTTTGTACAACTAAAAAGCAGTCCTTCAACTAAAGTAGACCCATGCTACTTCTATATACACATTCTAACATGTAACATAATACAAGGGGTGGGACTTGTGATTATTCAAATTAGACACAGAGGCATTTGCACAGATTGGTGATAGATAGATAGATAGATAGATAGATAGATAGATAGATAGATAGATAGATAGATAGATAGATAGAAGCAGTCTATAGACTTGAACTTGGTACATAATAGATAGATAGATAGATAGATAGATAGATAGATAGATAGATAGATAGATAGATAGATAGATAGATGGATAGATATGCTGTAGACAGACAGATAGATTGGCTATTCCTGGTACCCTAAGGAGCTATAAATGCCTAACCACTACACGGGTGAATACTGTGATCGCCCTTCATCTGCTCAGACACAATTACAGCCACATTAATGTTAATGGCACAAATGATAAACGGAAGCCTTGAGGCAGGCTGAAAAAGAGTAAAAATTTAGCAAACCACAGCCTGCATTATAATGCCTTCCAATCAATACAAGATATGAGAGATCGCCTACTTACTGAGCCTATTAAGAAATGAAGGAAACCGTAACTAAATAATTCATTCAAGTTTGGTAAATACTAAAACAAGAGATAGTTCATTTGCAAAACCAAGTGCTAACATTTTGTGGAATGTTCACTTTGTTCAGTGTAATTCTGTGTGTTTTATGTCAAAATAATTAAGTGGCCAGTCCATCTAAAATTGATATTTTAGTTATTGGGGCATGATGGGCTGAGTCAGCCCATGGCTTGTGAAATGTTGTGGAGCATGATGGGCTGAGTCAGCCCCTGACTTGTGAAATGTTGTGGAGCATGATGGGCTGAGTCAGCCCATGGCTTGTCAAATGATGGGAATACTCCAACTGGGACATCTCCATGCCATATTTCCTGAGTCTGCTCTTGTCCACATGAGATTTTTAGATCTTCCTGTATACCTTTGGGTATTCCAGCTCCTCCCATTGCATTCTACAGGAATTCTACCTGTCGGTAACTGAGGCTCCGATTCTACTGGCCGTTTGCCTCCATTTGCTCACCAGTCCAAAGAAGTCAATGCCCACTGCTCCCCTGGTGCGGTGACTATGCATAAACCACCAATGACTGAATCTAAAGCTGGCTATAGAAAGCCCCAGTTGGGAAGATCTCAAGAGGTGCCTGGTACTCTTGCAAATTAAAGAGTCCTCTTTCTAGGTATGAAATGTATCTGTCTATGGCCATTCTAAGATATTGCTTAAAAAATTACACAGTGGAGGTTACCACACACCATGGAATGTGTCAGCCTGGAAAAAGACATGACTAAGTAACCATCCATGTTGGATAGAATACTGCTTCTACACAGCACTAAGTAACTGACCAATGCTCACTTTTTTGCTAAACCAGAGAATGAGACGTGTTTTTTTTCTGCTAAAGGTTTGTATGTATCCTCATTTTAATGTAATAATGCCTCTCATCTGATCCATTGGCAAACATTGACATTAAACCTCAGACCTGCACTGCTCCCTCACGGTTACGCCCCTTGAGTCCGCGCTCAGGCGCGTAGGTCTCCGAAAACCGTTGTCAACAGTATACCGGGCCCTGTCGGGTACGGCAGGGGTTCATAGACTCCATTAATTTAATAAACAGAATTTTTCAAAAAAAAAAAAAAACCTCAGACCTGAAGAAGTTAATATCTATACTGATCACCCAACGTGGAAATGTATCTTAAAGGAATGTATAGCCTCTGTCATTTTTGACTTCGTAGAGAATTGGCAATGGTGATTTCATGCTGCCCTTCTGTCTGCTGCATGATCCAATGGGTAAACAAAGCTAAACAGACTTCCTGTTTACTTAGACTTATGTAGTAAGTAAACATTCTAGGACACAATTATTTATGTGTGGAAAACAAATCGTTATGGAAAATTTAAAAAAATTACCGGTGATTCATTCAGGATGACCTTTCAACCCATGCACCCAACTTACAATATTCATTTAGCCTCTCTATATAGCAAAAGGTAAAGTTCCACAAGACCGCAAATGTGAGTTGCCATCGCTGTACCCTGCTAAGGGTTAGTCATCATCCCCTGCTCAGCAAATTCATGTGACACTTGTCCTAGGGATTTTCTGCTTGCTCTTATGATGTCATTGAATCTTTTTTAAGAACTATTGCTTCCAACAATAAAATAGCATTTAGGTTCCGACCTATTTTTTTTCATACAGCAGAATAGAACGGGGGACCCTGGCTTGTCTACACAATGGTAACTCGTGTAGATTAATAACAGACACCATCTTTGCATAGAGGCCTACTGATTTTTGCTAAAAAATTGACATCAAGTGTTTAAGGCATCCTCTCTAGACATGGAAAGGCACGTCAATGCAAAGATGTTATACAGGCATATCCTACAGACTACAACTAAACACACTATATTCCTGTTGCTAGCTAGGATCTGGCCTTCTTGTTGCCATTGTTCGGGACATGCATATCTAAAAGCTTCACAAAGAATAACAGAAGGTTTAATGTACGCACATCCTAAAAATCTAGGATCAAAAGGCCAGATTGTTGCTATGTGGTGATTGGCTAGATGCTGGTGACAGATATGTGATCTGCTCTGACAGGCTTATTCTTCCATATAAAAAAAAAAAAAATCCAATCATTTTGTACCTGGTGTCATAAGATATGACATAAAACCTGCTGAAATGATTCCAGACTCATCACCAAATCATACACAGTTCAAGGGCAACATCACACGCTACATAAGGTGACAGATCACTGATCCCCAAGGCACCCAATACACACCAAAACAGCAAACCCTCTATACATGTGTATTTATGACCTTCAAGCCATTGCTTTTATCCAGCTCTATAATACAGCTGGACTTAGCATCTCGAATAAACAGGGAGGTAAAAAAAAAAAAATCACTGAGCAGCTCTTCTCTACTAGTCTTTTCTAGAAGCGGTCTCCGTCCCCCCATTCTGAAAGCAGAAGGCACAACACATTCCGTCAAGGAGGAAGGGGGGGGGGGGGGCCAAGTCATGCATTAAATGCAAATCCAATGGCAAACACCATACCCTCCTGTGTGATGGAGAGGCCTGAGCTATGCATTTGGCAGCAGGACCTGTGGCACCAAAGGGGTTAATTTCATTAAGGCAACATAATGACTAAATCCCTATAGATGTACTTTGTCCCCTTCCTCTCCTATATCCTTATACCCATCCCCCTGTCCCTGCACGACACACAGGAATCTCTGGGAGATGGAGCTTTAGAGATGTATGGATGTGGATCTAAGGGTTAATAGGTACATGTAAATATACATGCATGAATGTTTATGCATGAGTGGCTGTACATACATGACTCAGACCCTATATGATTATAGATTTGTGATTACAGTTATGTATCCACAGCATAGATAACAGGGAATGGCAGTGATGCATATTTACAAATATTGAGCAATACATGTTTGTATACACATGTAGCTATTTAAATAGATACATAGACACAATCATACAAAGCATCCGGCATGGATATTTGCATCCAGGGTGGAAGATTCAATAAGAAATAACCCTTTCCTGCAATGATAACAGCAAGGTAAGGATGATTAGAAGATAAGGACAGGCATTACAATCGTTCCTGGCGACCATAGACATCCATTGAGCATCACTCACCCAGGAAATGGGAACAATGCTCTCCTCCTCGGATGCTGTCGGGCTCTGTCCTCCCACAGGATCGGGGAATATCCTCTATTTCTTGGCCATCAGGACGTGGATGCCATGTAATTCCAAGGCTGGGATCGCTGTGCCCCCCCTGTACCAGGCGTGTCTCCTCTCCTGGATGCTGAGCAGCGGCACCTCCTGTATTGTGGATGGGAGGAGAGAGGGGGAGATAGACGATGCTGCTGCGCACAGGGCAGGTGCAATCCAAACAGCCAGAGCCAGACACCTTCCCAGGGGTTGGATGGATGGATGTGGGGGGATGGAAACAATGGCTGGGGACAGCAAGAGGAAGAAACCACCATGAAGGTGCCTCCCAAATATTGCCTGCCTTTAGGGCTGATGTGCTCTGTCTCCTGTGCAATCCACACCCCTGAAAAACATAGATTGCTTTCCTTTGCCAGAGAAACTGAAGCGTCTAAAAGGACATCCCCCTTCCACCTCTTGATGTCACATATTGCACCACCCATTAAAGGAACTCTAACCTTAGGTTGCTTTAAAATCTGTGCAGGAGAAGCTTTGCAGTGTGCACTGTGGCCAAGCTAGGTAATTGGTAGGGTGAACCTTTGTGTCTGATTAAAAAAAGAACTCTAAGATTTATTCAAATGAACTCTTGCATTTGATTCTGCCCCGGCACTGCAAGGGTTAAGTGCATGTTTTGGTCTATGGACGGAAATAAAGGAGGAATATTCACACGATCCTCGGTCCCGCCTGGCTGATAGACCGGGGTTCTGTCGAAATAGCCAACTCATCGAGATCTGCAACCATGTTACTTCTGGTGACTTGTGAGCGCACTCGGGTGCATAACAAAAAGGCCATAAGAAAACAATGACGAGTCCTCCAACTACTGCCAGTGTGCATGTGAAATAAAGCCACTGTATTCATTTCATACCAGCGCATGCACACTGGCAGCAGTTGGACAACTTGACGAGTATTGTTATAGGTTTTTTGTTAGGCAGCCGGGTGTGCGCGTGCATGCACACTACCGCCAAATCGTTGAAATCTCCTGCTGCCAAGTCACCGGGAAGAATGCAGTTGCAGATCTCAATGAGTTGGCTATTTGGCAGAACACTGGTCCACGCAGCCTTTTCTCCCCCAGACTCCTGTGGTCTAAGGACCCCTAAGGTTATCATGTCTGAAGCTGGCCATACACTGTTATATTTTCTTCATTCTGCCCGCAGGTTAATATATCAGATTATATGCTTACGAGCATGGATGGAGGAAT